AACTGTTTTAAATCAGACCTTTGTGAATACTTGAGCACAAGGTTAGGGAGTGGTGTCAAGAACAGCCTGAAGTTAACCATAATGGGGAGCTATGACCAGAAATGTTGGGTGCTGGCTGTATTACAGGTATTAGCAGAAAATCTGTGATGAGAAAATAGGTAACTGACACAATATGAATACACATTACAATACGAACCATTGGAAAGGAGCCAAAAATCCAGTGGTTCTTTAAATCTGCATTAGAGATCAACAGCTACAGATACAGGTAGATAGAGATTCCTCCAAAAATACCTATAATTTAGACATTGAAGTCTAATGTCTATTTAGATATCTAGGCAAACTACCTTAGGCTCCTTTACCTCTATTGCATATGGATTATCACCATAAAGGATATTTATTCTCTTTATCTATAATATATGCCTTTATGTTCAGCCATCTCTAGGAAAACAGGAATCATGAGTAACAGTTACTTGAAAAGACAAATGCAATCACTCCAAACATCCCTGCATCCTCTTTCTTTCCTCAGTTTTTATTGCTGAGCATGATCCTATATGGTCAGCTGGGGTCAGCTGTCCCAGTTCTGTTCCCTCACAACTTCTTGCCCACCTCCAGCATCCTCACTGGCAGAGTTGTACAAGAAGCAGCAAAGGCCTTGACACTGTGGCAGAGCTAAAACATTCCTGTGTTCTCAACACTGTTTTCATCACAAATCCAGAATTTAGACCCATACAAGCTACTATGAAGTAATTTAACTCTATCCAAGCCAAAATCAGTACAGTGTTAGGTCACTTTGTTCTTCTTACAGTATGTTAAATTATTTATACACCAATAATCACCTAATCTATTTCTCCTCTCATTTCAGTTTTTCATTTATAAAGTGCAAATGATAGCATTTCAGTAGTCTATAGTGAGTTTTCCATTGAAGTAATAAATTTTGCACGGTGTGAAGTTCCTTTAATACAGTGATTTGGCTACACACACTGACACTGGGTTTAAAGCACTGATCTGAAGGTGATTGTTTGGAAATTAATGTCAAGAAAATCTTTCAAATACACTGTGTAGAGGATTATCATCCAATTATTATGGGTTTAGGTACACTAATAATGGTGTCGTTAGATAACCTGAAACAAATAATTGATTACCTATTCAACAGAGGTTTCTAAGTGTTCTTAGGGAAAGAGAAAACACAGAAAAGTTCTATACAAACACAGTCTTTTTGAGAATGCAAGCTATCTCTTGCATCTAAAAGTTCATGTCTGAAAGTTTTTCTAATAAACGCTTTCGCAAATTCAAGGTTAGATGTAAATAAGTCACCTCCCACAAGTAATATAGGTAAGACTGGAAGTCCAGTTTTAGCTTTTAAGACTCTTACCTTCTCTCTCAGTCTTGCTCTCTGCCTCTGGGAGCTGATGGGAATGTATGCAAATATAAAATAGTCTGGTTTTAGAAAAAATTGATCTATCATCAGTCACTAAATTTGAGAAGCTTTTTTATCAAGAACATCTGGGAAACAACCCTTAAAAACAAGGGGGTTCAGGAGGGATGGATGTGC